CTACCCTTGACTTAAAGTAGCGCTAATAGCTATATCTATAATATATATTTCTATAGACTCTTAGAGAACACCCTTTTAGTCCTTAAAGTGACACTAAGGAGAAAGCCCTTTTTGTCTATATTATAGATATTTTGCGGCTAGATATCGTATTTCTTGATATAATCATGAAGTAGACGGAAGTAGATGGAAGTAATTATAGCAATCTTTAAAATCGTTAGCTTTTTTGCGGTTTCAGTTAATGCTGGCGGTGTTTCTAGTGATAATTTTCTCTCTATTCCGCTAAAGAAATCTTGTAACCTAGCTGTTAGATGGCTGTCTTTTTGCAATATTAGCAACATATTTTTTAATTATCTCTTGGGACGGTGGAGTACTACGCTTAGAGAGTTCTTCTATGTGCTAGACAAGGTATTTCTCTTGTTGTGGTGAGAGTAGTCGTTGTAGGTGTGCAGCGGCTGCACGCGACCGCGTTTTGTTTTGGTGGCGACGCGTCAAAGTTGATGCTACAACACTATATATTTTTGCAGCTGCATGGTACAAGATTTGTCCTTCTAGACCTTGCGAATTAATTGCCGCAAGCGCTTTTTTAATAGCTGTCATAGTAGTGGAGTTGTGGGGATTTGAAATTGGTGGGTTCTACTTTAGGAGATGCAGGGGGTGTTGCATTGTCTGACCCGTTGCACGCATTGACCACCCACACTAACGGACATTAGATGAGTCAGCACCAACCACAACTGGGCATGTTCTCGTATTTAGATTTTTCAAGGAAATGAATAAGGTTTAATCACTAAACTTTGATCCACAGCTTCTATAAAGTGCGTTTTATTATTAGGGGCTTTGAAAGGAAGTTATATATCAATTGTCCCTTTGCATTGTATCTAGTGAGTTATCCGCTCAATCTCGTTTCTATCTCTAATATCCTCATCAAATACATTCACCCAATATCTCTTTAAGCTTTCGTGAAGATGTATTACAAGATTCCAATTTTAGTTGGTCTCGCTCTCTTTACAGGGGTGGATTGTTACTTTGTAAGTTCAGTTATCTAATTCATTTGTGTTAGTAAAAAAGATTTTTTCTATAAAAGTATGGTAAATTTTAATGGATTTTAGAATTGCGTACCATATGGGGGAGTAATGTTTCCCGGCCTAACAGGTCCCTGGGCACAGAATCCACCAGAGGCATGTCCTGTCCCCCGAGGTGAGTGTTTCATATCAAGATCTTTATAAAAGAACAGCCTTCTCTAATAATTTTAAAGGCTGGTTAGTGTTTTTCTACAGCTATACTATGTTGATTTATTGATATGTTAGTTGCGTACCAAATGGGAACGATCTTCCCCCAAATAAAAGGCCACGTGCCTATAAGTGTGTAAGAGTAAGTAGAAATCAGACAAAAATAGAGTGATGGTATGAGCCTAACAGACGTAGGGTTTACCGTGTGGTGGTAGGGATTCTGTGCCACATTCACCGCCTGGTACTGGCTGTACCCCACCAGGACCTAAAGACGATCCAATACGCGTTGCAGCCTACTGCTAAGGGAGAGGATTAGGGTTATGTAAAGGGCGAGCCGAACCCGGCGTAGCACGCAACTACTGGCACCACCACCTGTACCAAAATGTGTACACAAGACTACAAGCTTGTCTTGTAGTCATGGTAGTTAGATATATATACTCGATATCAGCGCCCGCGCATCGTAGCGCCGCTACTTAAGAGCGTAGCCTATTACATGTTAACATTAACCTTTACTCACCATCCTACTCCATAGACTAGGCAGTTATTGGTATATCTTTATGTGCATTCATAAGATACTCACTATGTGGTTCAGTAGCTCTGCCTAAGAGCTTATTGTAACGGCGCAGGTAAGGCAGGTCGGATCTGTTTCGGTCGTAGGATCACTCAGAGGCATATGGGAGTGCGTGGGATCACAAAGAGCCTAGATTCAACAAGC